CCCAGTCCTGCAAAAAAAAAAAAGAATAAAATTATATTTAAATAATAACAATTTTTCTTGAAATATTTAAATAATAGCTATTTATCTTAGAAATGAATATTTAATCTAGAGGAAAAGCAATGCCTAAGAACTGGTCTTCTTTGAAACACCACATTCTGTGGTTGACATATCACACACACACACACACACACACACACACACACACACACACACACGGCAGGGAGGGGGCGATGACAAAGGTTTGAAACCATTATATTTTAGGAGTTTCACCGACAGTTCTCCATCCCTCAGTGGTAATCTAGCTTTGTAAAGAGCTCTGAAGCCAAGCAAAGCAGTTAGTAGTTCTTGATGAGTTTATCATAGGGAAAGGCTTAGAACTATCTCTTCCTACAAAAATTCCCAGAACAAACTTGACATGTCATAATAAAGGAAGATGTGGAACACAGTTCACTTCCTACTGCCTGTGTGTCAAGATGTAGGACTCTCAGCTCCCTCTCCAGCACATGCCTGCCTGCATGCTGCCATGATGACAACGGACTAAACTTCTGAACTGTAAGCAGCCCCAATTAAATGCTTTCTTTCTAAGAGTTGTGGTCATGGTGTCTCTTCACAGCAACCGGAACCCTAACTAAGACAGAAGAGAAAGGTGAAGTAGAGTCAAAAGCAGGCTGGCATGAATATACTTCCTAGGTGAAACAGGCGACATCATATAGCCTGTCAAGCACAGTGTAAAGTTGGACAGTCAGCCACAACTGAAATTACTTATGGAATTAAAATTTTCTTTTAAAATTCAATTTTAGAACAGGACACGATTTAAATATTTACAATTTTCCTACAGGTGTACACCCACCTCTCCACCCTTCTGTTACCCCCCTCTCCTGCTGTCCCCTTTGCTCCCCACAATCGCACTTCCACTTTCTTGTCAAATAGACTTGCATGATTTTATTGTTTATACAAAATCTAGGAACCACAAAGGAGAGAACACAAACAATATTTGTGTTCATGAGACTGGCTTAATTGGCTTAATTTGAAAAACCTACAGTTGCATCCAATTTCCTGCAGATGATATTACTTCATTCTCCCGGGCTGACAATTCCATTGCATTGGCACCACATTTCTTTATTCATTTATCTGGTGTTGGACACTAGGTTGATTCCATAGCTTAGCTATTATGAACTGTGCTGCAGTAAACACTGTTGTGCAAACATCTCTGTGGTGTGCTCACTCAGAGTCCTTTGGGGAAAGACCCAGGAGTGATATAGCTGGGTCGTATAGTAGTTCTAATTTTAGTTTTATTGAGAGAGTTCCGTAATGCCTGGCCTAGGCTTCTGCATTCCTGTCACCAGCGTGTGGGTTTCCCTTTTGTCTGTATCCTCGCCAGCATTTGCTATTTCTTTTCACAGTAACTGTCATTCTTACTGGAATAAGATGGAATCTCAATTTTGATCAGTGTTTCCCTGATGGCTAGAGTAAGGCTGAATACTTTTTCCTGTGCTTATTGGTCAGTTGCATTCATTTTTGAGAACTATCTGTTCACTTGATAAATTTGTTTATTTATTTGATTTCTTGATGTTTTAAGAACAAGATACATTATGAACCAACTTTTGCTTTTATCCTTGTGGCACCTACTGGATATTATTTCTATACACCTTTACCATGACTCTAGGAAAACCAAACAGGCATCTTAGGAAGAAGAGAACTTGCTAAAACTCAGGCCTTGAATGATTTTTTCAGTGGTGTGGGACTGTAGTGATAACATGTTGGTAAACAAAAAGCAAGATGAGGATGCAGCCTCGTGGTGGTGAAGTGAGTTTTAGGACCCAGTGGTGGGGCCAGCCAGTCCTGGAGCACAACTCAGGGTTGTGAAGACAGAGCAAGGCACTTTCTCTTTTAAGTCACTGTGATTTGTAATCTTTTGTTCAATGGCATCCTGGGAATATTCCAGAGAGAATACTTCATCTAATACCTAAGAGGAATATTCCTAGAATCAAACAAGAGACCATAACACACAGGTAACAGAGTGCTAGAGAGTTCCCCAGGAACTCACAAAGATAACTCCACTATAGACTACTGGCAATGGTCAAGAGGGTGCCTGAGCTAACCTACTCTGGTGATCGGATGGCTGAATACACCAACTGTCATCATAGAACCCTCATCTAGTGACTGATGGAAGCAGATGCAGAGATCCATGGCCAAGTCCCAGGTGGAGCTTCAGGGGTCCAATTAAGGAGAGAGAGAGGAGGGATTATAAGAGCAAGAGTTATCGAGACCATGATTGGAAAATGTACAGAGACAACTTGCCAAACTAGTGGAAATGCATGAACTGTGAACCAATAGCTGAGGAGCCCCCATGGAACTGGACTAGGCCCTCTGGATAAGTGAGGCAGTTGTTTAGCTTGAACTGTTTAGAGGCCCCCAGGCAGTAAGACCAGGACCTGTCTTTAGTGCATGAGCTGGCTTTTTGGAACCTAGTGCCTATGGTGAGATACTTTGCTCAGCCTTGGTGCAAGGGGAGGGGCTTGGACCTGCCTCAAATGAATGTACCAGGCTGGGCTGACTCCCCAGGGGAGATCTTGCCTTGGAGGAGGTGGGAATGGAGGGTGGGTTGGGGGGAAGGCTGGCGGTGGAAGGAAGGAGGACAGGGGAATCCATGGTTGATATGTAAAACGAATAGAAAATCTCTTAATAAAAAGAAAAAAGTGAAAAAAAGAATCAAAGTGTAAAAATAATAAAAAATAATTAGTAACACCTGTGTTTTATAGGCATTGTAGCTTATCACTCAAGATTTTTTTCTTACTACCAGCACATGCCATGTTTTAATTTGAAAGGCACTATTAATCGCTAACCATTACTAAACTTATTCTCTGCCAGTCGCTGTTCAAAGCATGAATTAACCAAACCACTCCCATGCTAATCTATAACCTATAACTACATAATTATGCATGTGTAACTACAGCTATATAACCTATAACTATAATCCAGTACTTATTAAGAACGTGTTGAACACAGGAAAGCTAGGCACAGAGAAGATCAGCTCCTTCCTCATGGTCTTGTTTGGCAGCTGATCAGCTGCCAAAGTCCAAATTCAGTGCTCTCACCGTGCTGTGTTCTGAAACCCAAAGCAGCCATTCTTACAAATCTTCCCAGGTTTACTCTGTGTATAACACAACCTGCTACATTAATTACTCAGACAACAGATGATTACAGATTGAGAATACCCGAAATAATCAAGTAGCATAAAAATGAACAGATCCTCCACTTAGGTCAACAAAATTTGCACGGTCTCAATTTACATTATGACTTTACTATAATACAGCGAATGAGTTTTGGCTTACAGGATTTGTGTTTTCCAATGTAATTTTAAATACAGAATATCATCCTTTTTATTTTATATTTATTTTAGCTCTTCTTGTCATACTAATAAGTAACATAAATTTATCATATAGTACCAAGAAGCAAGAAGAAACAGAAGAGACAAAATATTCCATACCTTACTGCCACCATCTAATTCTTATTAAGGTTAATTTTATGTTTTATGGGCATTAACCACATGGCTGTGTTATATCATGTTGAAAATGCCTCTCTTTCTCCCCTACTTAAACCCGACAACGTCAGAGTCTCTGACTGACTGGTTTGGCCCAGTTCTGTGGCTTTGTCCCCTGTAGAATTACACCTTGAGGACTAGAATCGATGGTGGTGGGATTTAAGAGCAACTGAGAAGTGGTGACTTTGGATGCAAACACCACAAAGCCAAAAGCCTTATATGACTCATTGGGGAAGAAACTCACTAGAGTACTTTCAAGTACTTCTAAAGTGGGAATCTTCTAAATCTGTGTTTAGGAATTACTCAGACGTTATACAGAAACCAAGTCTACTACAGTCCTGGGGGTCTTTTCTGTAGACCACAATAGAAAAACTAAGAGGAATAAAAATTTTGATATGCATTTGTCAATACTGGCACACTCAGCCGCATTAGACAAGCTGGGTTTAAAAACAGAAAGTACATGCAGATGTATTTTCATTTTGTTATACTATATACAAAACCTTTTATTTTGTTACATTATAAAGTTTAAATGAACTTTAAGAGTCAATGTTGGCTTTTGATCTGTCTTTAGAATACTACATTAAACAGCGACATTAGCAGCTATGACAAAAAAGCACACACATGAACCCTGAAATACCCTGATGAGGGAGAGAATTATTTTAATATGCGACACATCTGTGTCATCAGTAAATGGTTATGTAAGCTTCTGTGTTGGCTCACAACAGCACTGATGGTGACAACACACTCGTCTCTTTCTCCTCAGATCTCATGAAAAGAGCAATGTGGAGCTGTAAGATGGCGCAGAGGGTACAGGCGTTGGGTGCCAAACCTGACAGTCTGAGTTCAAGCCCCGGGATCCACATAGTGGAAGGAGAGAATCAACTCCCACAAACTGTCTTCTGTCCTCTACACATGTGTTTTGGTATACACACACACACACACACACACACACACACACACACACACACACACACACAATAATAATAATAATAATAATAATAAATTAAAAAGAGCAATGTGTTTTTACATTCTTCTAAACAGTGACCTTGGCTGTTACGACTTATCAATTTCTTTTAAAATTGCAGCTTGTTTAAGAATATTCTACTATTTCTCAAGACTTAGTAATTCTTGCTTTTAAATACACTGTGTTCTACAAAGAGTAACTCAAATAAATCAATTATACCCTATAAACAACAGAAATGACATTAAGAATCCCCTAGAACCAAAGCACATTTAAAAAGCATTTGGTTTTATTTTATATGTGTTGTGTTTTGCCTGTATATATGTCTGTGTGAGGCCATCAGATCCCCTGGAACTGGATTACAGACAGTTGTGAGCTGCCATGTGGGTGCTGGGAATTGAACTCGGGTCCTCTGGAAGAGCAGTCAGTGCTCCTAACACCTGAGCTCTCTCCAGCCCCCAACCACAGCACTTTACCAAGTGCATTAGCTCTTACCGACTCCAGAAGATACTGACATGACGTCAATGTCACACGCTCTTCTTCTCGCCACTTCAGCCAGTGCCAGTTCACCCACATCCAGGGCAAGGTAATGAATATCCTTTGGAAACAAAGAAGACAAAGACTGATTAGAAAGTAATCTTGATAAAGTTACAAAGTGGAGTCTCAAAGGAAGAAATGTTCAGAGAACAAAATAGATGTGGCCAATGAATATTCTTTTTCTGTTTTCCTGTGTCTGGCAGACACTCAGTCCCAAGTAAACACACAGAGCCTTATACTAATTACAGACTGTTTGGCCTATGGCTCATTAACTGCTATTACAACTCAACCCATTTCTATTAATCTATGCATCGCCATGTGATCAGTGGCTTTACTTGTGTTCCATTACATCTTGTTTCCTGGGCAGTGGCTCACAGCATCTGCCTCAACTCTGCCTTTCTTTTCCTTGTGTCTCTGATTGGATTCCCTGCCTGGCTCTATTCTGCCTTGCCATAGGCCAAAGCAGCTTCTTTTTTTGTTTGTTTTTTGTTTGTTTGTTTGTTTTCCTTTTTTGTTTTTTGAAACAGGGTTTCTCTGTGTAGCTTTGGTGCCTTTCTTGGAATTCACTCTGTAGCCCAGGCTGGCCTCCAACTCACAGAGATCCGCCTGGGTCTGCCTCCCAAGTGCTGGGATTAAAGGCGTGTGCCACCACTGCTCGGCCATAGCAGCTTCTTTATTAAACAATGGTCACAACACATATTCACAGCATACAGAAAGACCATCCCATAGCTAATTTTTCTTAGAGAACAGTGTAACTAATTATTTTAAGCCATAAGGCAAAAAACATGTTTCTAATAATCAACAATCAGTTTTATTAAAAATGAAAAACTTTGTCGTGCCTGTGTGTGTATATTTAAGGATTTAGTGTGAAGGAAGTGTCTCCCCCCTCCTCCTCCCCCGCCGTGGTCCAGGCTGGTCTCAAACTCTTAAGCTCAAATGATTCTTTTTCTTCTGCCTTTCAAATAGCTGGTCCTACCAGTTCATGTCATTGCACTAGCTCTAAGAAAGCCTGACTATATATTACACTAAGTTCTTCTTTTTTTTCCAAGACAGGGTTTCTCCGTAACTTTGCACCTTTCCTGGAACTCACTCTGTAGACCAGGCTGGCCTCGAACTCACAGAGATCTGCCTGCCTCTGCCTCCAGAGTGATGAGATTAAAGGCGTGCGCCACCACCGCCCAGCTACACTAAGTTGTATACAAGGAATATTACAGAAGAACTTTAATTTTATAAGCCTAGAAAATATGTGTTAATATTAATACTACCATTTTTAAACTCAGGTTATAAATAACATAGGTGAATTACAATTCCATTCTCAATTTTTTTTGAACCTAGTAGAGAGACAGATAATTACAGGCCAATTGTGAATTATAAAGAACTGTGACAGATTTTAATGGCAGTTATTTGTCCATGCTGGAGCTAAAGGGAAGAAGCTGATCTCTGCTCTGAATGTTGAGGATTTGTGAGAACTGTACTGGGAAAGCAGCAGCATGTGAATGACATCTGTGCATATGCGTGCAAAGCTTGAGTCACTCTGGGAAGGGATGGCAGGTCTGTCCAATGGGAGAAGTGCTGGGCACATGGGAAAGCGATGGAAATCACAGAGTAAGCACAGTAAACACAGTCACTGAAAAATCTTCTGCAGTGTGCAGAATGGTCACTGGAATAAAAATTCTACTGCAATAAAAATGGAAAAGAGAATATAAACTGGCAGTCTATAATGAACAAATATAAATGCCCTATAATTATGTAAAGATATTTCATATTATTCAAATAAATGTAAATCAAAAAACTAATTTCTGATTTTTTGAATTATATGAATTTATAAGAAATAAAATGTCATACTTTGATATATGCACAATATGCAATGAATCATCACATCAGGGAGTTAACACATTGGCTAAGTTTCTAAAAGTTAATAATTGATTGCAAAGCTTTGGCACACAGGCACATACACTCAGAACACAGTTCCTCAAGACTTTAGAGGTCAGGGGTCAGAAAGTATGTCTGATGTGCCAGACTAACCTGTGTTGGTACATTTCTCAACTTAAGAATAGCTTCCAAATTTCTAAACTGTTGAAAGATATGTGTTCAACCACTGTTCATGAACTTTGAAGGGCTATGGAATTAGCTTTAGCTGCAGACTTGAAAATGTTTTAAACTAAAATTACAAGGGAAAATTGATTCTGTGAAACATACTGTGATAAAATCATTCTGATGAGAACTAAAATTGTTTGAATTGCAAGTCATGTCAGGACTGCAATGTCAAAAGATGTGTTTTTCAAAGTGATATCTTCATTCCTATACAAATTCCCAGAAATATATTTTCATTTCAAACCACAGCAATGTTTTTCAGGCCTGTATGCATGTGTAGAGAAAATTTCCATATTCCAAAATCCATTTGGTGTGCAATTAAGGAGCTTCTACTGGAAATGATTTGCAATGTAATGACATGCTAAAGACATTCTAGCCTTTCAGTTAATAGAAATCTAAAAATGCCTTCCAACCTGTGAATGCACTCAATGAAAGCCATGTCTCAGGGATGCATACTGGCATTTGGTAGTACTGGTATATACAGGTGGAAAGGTATTTGTAAAGGTTTTCAAGATATGAAAGTCTCATCATAGATCAGCACCAACAAATCAACCTTTATGATAAATTTGGAGGTTAGGGAACACCACATCTCCCAGAAAGCTCCATTTTTTTCATATTTGTAAACCTGGACTACAAAAAATTGTAAGTCGGTGTACATAATTTATGATATTTTAAATTTCACCAATAAAAGATTGATGGAGGGTTTGGAGATAGCTAAGTGAGCAGAGCACTTGCTACACAGCTTGAAGAGAAGGGATACCCAGAAACCACAGAATGCTCCCTTCAAAAAGCATACTCATTATCAAAGATGACACCACCTTAGAGTAAAGAGATGGGGAAAAGTACTCCAGCAAGTGGAACTACGAAACAAGTAGGCATAACTAATTCTACCTAGAAGACAAACGCAAAACCAAACAAGACAGAAGTGATAAAGAAAGTCACTTCATATTATGTGAACAATCCATCAAGAAGACATTTCAACTCTAAACATGTATGTACCAAATAGAGGTAAAACCAACTTCATAAAACAAATGTAACCATATATAAGGTCACATATTAATGGCAAAACATCAACAGTGGATGACTTCAATATTCCCCTTTCACAGACAGGTCATCTAAATAAAAATTAGAGAAACAACTGAGTTTAACGACACCACAAATCAGCTGGACCTAACAGATACCTACAGAACATTCTGCCCAAACAAAAGACTCTACTTTCTTCTCAGCAGCCCACAGAACTTTATGTAAAATAGTTCAGAAATTAGGCCACAAAGTAAGTTTCAATAGCCCCAGTATTCTATTTTACCACAATGGAATGGTAGAAATAAACAGCAAGAGAAACTACAGAAACTCATCGAAATCACACAATGTACTGCTGAATGATGAATGAGCCACTGAAGAAATGAAGAAGGAAATTTAAAATTCCTAGATTTGAATGAAAATGAAAACACAACATATCAAAATCCTTGGTATATAATGAAACCAGTCCTAAGAGGAAAGTTGTTTGTAACTGTAAGTGTCCAAACAAACAAACAAACAAAAATCAGAAAGTTCAAATAAATAACTTCATGGTACACTTTAAGCCCCTTGGGAAAACCAGAAACCAGAACAAACATAAAACTGTAGACAGGGAAAAATAATTAAGATAAATGCAAACGTTAATGAAATAGAAACAATACAACAGAATAAAAAACACAATACAAAGAAAATAAAAACATAATTAACAATCCTTTAGCCGAATTAATGAAAGCAAGAGGATCCACAATAATAAAACTTGAGATAAAAAGGGGAAATATTACAACAGATACTGTTACTGTTGATTATTCAACTCCACATGGGACATCGACATTAGTCCTGCAAGGCTCAAGGAATCTTAAGGAGAAAGGGCAGAAAGAAGGCAGGAGCTGGTGATGGGGGAGGGCAGTACACACTATCTTCTGGGCAGGACGCACGCTTGCACTGGACCTGTCAAAAGTGTGTCAGGATGGGGAAGGGTTCATGGCACCTGTGCATCCCTAGAGAAAGACAGGCTTTTTGATAGATGCTGGGGGCAGGGAGGCATGCCTTCAGCAGTGTTAATCCTCTATGTCCTGGAGGCTAGCTCCACACCCGTGCCCACACTGGGAGAGGTGGTTCATGGTTAAACTCGGGGGTCATAAAAGTGAAACAAAAAGGATGGGGGGGGCAGTGAATATGCTCAAAATTCATTGTATGAAATTCTCAAAGAATTAATAAAAAATTGTTTAACAAATGAAACAAGACACAAAAGCAAGAATGGCACTTGTACGCAGGAGGGGCTGGGCTAGACAGGGAGGACTGGTTAGTGTGTTGAGAATGTACTATATGTATACATGTAGGAAATTGCCAAAAATGCTTACTATGTGTCAAATGCTCAGGTAAATTGGTCAAAAACCTAATGAAGTCTAACCTCTCTCCCTTCTTACTTACCCAAGTCCTTCCTGTACATAAGCTTGTGTCAGAAAACATAATTCCTCTTCTTAAGAACTACCCCCAGTCAGGCACAGTGGCACATGCCTAAATCCCAACACTCAGTGGAACTAGCAAAAGAGCAACTTAAACCGAAATTTAAGAGAAGAAAGTAACAAATATAAGAGCAGAAATAAATACTGGAGAAAGACAACAGAACAGAATGACAAGCTGAAAGTGGATTGTTCTGAAAAGACAAAAATCAACAAACCTATTGCTGGAGTAAGAAAAAGAGATTTGAATAAAATAAGAAATAAAAAGTTAGCCAGACAGCGATGGTGCACACCTGCTGTGGGATGTTCTGTATGGCAAATGTGTTGCTCTGATTGGTTAGTAAATAAAACACTGATTGGCCAGTAGTCAGGCAGGAGGAAGTATAGGTGGGACAAGGAGGAGAAGAATTCTGGGAAGTGGAAGGCTGAGTCAGAGACAATGCCAGCAGCCACGATGACAAACAGCATGTGAAGATGCTGGTAAGCC